CAGTTGAACAGTCCCTCTTCAGAATGCCTTTGTCCTTTTCAGTCCTTATTACTGCTCAAAAACTGTCGCCAAAAGTGCATAGGAAATTTCTTGAGTGCACTACTGATTTGAACTCCTTCTAGAAGTTTATGATCTCAATTTCTCGTCCATTCTTGCTAACCGCTCTTTTTAGTGGGCAGTGCTGTTCATTCATATCTACGTGTTCATCGGATGTATGATCGGACTGACGCTGTTCGTGGGTGTCGTCGTCGCGAATTACACTGAAAACAGAGTAAGTTTTAAAAGAGCTGTCTGGTGACGATACCTTGTAGATGATTGCTTCCAGGGCACTGCCCTTCTTACTGTTGACCAGCGACGTTGGCACGATCTGAAAGCGAGGTTGAAGATGGCACAGCCTCTGCACGTACCACCCAAACCGCCTGAAAGTGCCAAGTTGCGCAGTTATCTCTACGATCTTACCCTCAGCAGAGCCTTCAAACAGGTACAGCTACATTTCAACGCTGAAGTGAAAAAGAATATGTAGGGTACCCGGTTTTGAAATACTCCTTTGAAATAAGCCACGCACTTCACTGCTATCTGTAGGCGTTCAGGAATCATAATAATTGCTGTAAATACCAAATATACTGTTCTGCAGGGTCGCCTTATGTCGGATTAAGGTCTTACCATTAGTGCATCGCAGGTCTGACTGCTCGCGCTCTGTTGCCATTTTGGCAACCCAACCGCATTGTGACCATCAACAGTCCTTTAGAGACGTTTTCCTCGATTAAATTGGCTCACAATGACTGCAGAGCTAAGAAGTGAACCGCCCGTCAAGATAAAATGAAAGAAACCGCCAACACTTAGAATTACGGCCGTCTTCCCCCTAGTGAGTGGCGCCTTGAGAAGGGCAGGATAACTCGCCTGAGGAACTGTGCGTTGGGACAAGAGAACACGCGAACGAGACGAAAAAGCATAGCGATGAGTGAGACAACGATCACCCAATGCGAACATTGCATAAAATGACAACACATCCACCTATCACGACGCCTAGACCATTACATTGTGAGCAAGAGTAGTCAGCGGCGGTCATGACAAGAATTTAGCGCCCTTGTCGCGCTCTTTTAAGCGAGTAGTGCTATACTACGAAAGGACTGATTCAGCTGGCGTCGTGGTGGAATGTGTGCCTTCAATAGCGGATTTTAGATGAGAAATCAATCCTTTAGAAATTAGAGATTATCAGTGATGCACGAAAGAAGAAAAATCAAGAAAAGGCCTTAGAACCGAGAAATGGGACCCCTTCCTTGCCCGTTGATTTGCGCATTGATGCGACTCTCATCGGTGCTGCCCTCTTCAACGCTAACGCTCTCTCTGCTAAACGGCTAGAGAATCAGACAGCAAGGTCGAAGCGGTCATATCCTTCGATCGCTTCAGCAGAAGAAGTCCAAAGCAATTGTGGGCCGGTTCGCACCCTTAGGAGGTCCGCTGTTTCTCCGCTCGGTAAGTTTCCACTTCTTCGACCCTCGGCCTTGTCCTCCTTTAGTTCCATCTCTCCGTTTCCTTTGCTGATTCAGTAGTGATTACTAGTGGTCCAGCAGGTATTAGTAGTGGCGTTGATAGGGCACAGTATGTGAAGATAGAAACCTATTTTCACTTCCAATTTCAGTCGTTGCGCAGTCTGCGTCGTGTGTGAAGTTCGGTTAAGCGTTGGGTCGTTGCCAGTGGATGGTCGCTCGGGATAAGAAGAAAAAGCAGCGGCGGGCAATGTTTCTGTTCAGGTGCTCACAGGGTTGCTGTCAGGGTTTCTGCACATTTCTCGATTGTACGTATCGAGGGTTATCTATAAGCAGGCTCTTCGCACAAATTAAGGCTTCATTAGTGGTACTTCTACCTTTTTGTTTGCCAGGATTCTGCTAAAAGCTGTCGCTTTTACTGTACGGGGTTTCTGGCAGTCGAGGCGAAATCGTGGCGATTTCTTTATCACCATGCTCGGTCTCACCTGGATCGTTTTTCACTTTCTTTTCCAGGGTTCGTCCTGTATTAAGTGCTGTGCATTTCGCATCCTAGTGTTTTTCTTTGTTTTTTTTTTCGAAATGCAGATTGTTTTTTCAGTGCCCGCCTACATTGCAGGTGGTATCAATGAGTGGAAGAGGCTCACATATACCTTCGGCTATATGGTGGTCATCCTTCGCTTCTTCACCATCGCGGGTAAGTACCTCCCCATCTGACGCTCCGAATTTCCAGAAGTTCCTGGTTATAGGACGAAAATCAACGTTGAAAATGCTGATGTTGACGGTGTTGATGTCGATGGTCCGGTCACTATTCATTATAGCCGCCATGTTCCTATTAGTACTTTTCTACGCATACACCGGTGTAATTCTTTTCGGCATGGTCAAATATGGTCAGGCAGTCAGCAAGTGAGTTGAGAATTCTGTTGCTCCTGTCTCCTCCTACCTTCGTACTTCTTACGCATTTGTTTGAAAGCCTTTCCTTCATGTTTCTGTACATACCTACTTCCGAGCACAATCAACCGTCCGTTGTTTCGATTTCAAAATTTTTCACGACCCTTTCTCTTATGAACCTCGAAACGGTCCACCATCGGCTAGTCGAGCCCCCTAATCACCCTCCAGCATCACCCTCGCCGCTTTGACTGTTTTTACGGACCAGCTGACATGTTCAACTCCACCCACATTTTCCCTTTAGAAATAGTTGTCGACTGGCCGGGAGGTGTGGGGGAAGGGGTAGGGAGTCGGATTCATCACGTCTAATGAAGCAGCAGATTATTTGAGTTGGCCTATTCTACCCCTTTTTGTAATTTCATGAGAATTCCGCTGAACTTGTTTGAAAGCCTCGAGGCGAATCCTCGCGAAATAATTAATAACTCTCCGCGAAGGCAGCGCACACCACTGGTAAGAACTTGCTCGTCGGCTACGTACGTACCTTTCCCGGCGAAAGCGCCATGTCTCGGTCTCTTGGGAGCGAAGCTCCTCTTTGCAGTGGGCATATGTATTTCCCTTGCTCAATATCCACTTTATTATACCACCTTGCTTTAAGTGACAAGGCCGCACTGCACTTGCCGAGACCCTTTTCTTGTGGAGGACGGCTCGAGGAGAACGCTGTCGCTTCATTCATGGGAGTGATTACTTCGATAAACTAAAAGTGGAATGTGCCTTTGAAATATAGTACCTCGTTCTGCCTTCTTCCGGCTGAGAATTTGCTTTTTTGTCTCAAAGCTTCATTACTGTGCTCCGAATGCTTCTTTCCCCTTTACTGCCTCGAATCGAAATTTTCTACTTTTACAGACACGTCAACTTCCGCAATGGCCGTGAGGCGCTGGTCGTTTTGTTCCGCTCCGTGACAGGAGAGGACTGGAATGATATCATGCACGATTGTATGGTGAGTGATCTCATGATCCTCTTGAGCTCGGGTGAACTGTTGGTCCGATACCAGTAACAGCTGATTCGATGCCAGCAATTGACGCGGCCGTTAATTCATGCCACTCAACTGATACGTGATGAATTGCAGTTCACTTTACCTCTTGAAA